CGTTATATTATTATTTTATAATCGAATACACACAATCAATTCTAATGTATTTATCTAAATGTTACTACACGTGCATCATTGTTGTTAAGCTGCATGTATAATGATTTTGCTTTTTCTTCGCTGTTGATAAAAGCTCTATAAAATAAATTAAATACTACAATACTTATATTTACGCGATGTGACCCGTTTTACGAGTAAAAAAATAAACACAAAACGTTCGCAATACCGTTCGATTGGAATGGGGAAAAAAACGAGTGATCAACGACAGTCGGTGTCGTCGGTAAAGGCGAATACTTGCTTTAGTACGACTATGTATAGAATGCTATCAGATGTTATCGCGGTCCACGTTAATAACGAATTATTATTAATGCGGTGTTTTTTTTTCCCAGCCCCTCGTCCTTTTTTGTTTTTCGTCTACCTCCGCTGCGGCGAAGTGCATGTGCATTATGTGTAAAGTGCAAGTAGGTACTGCAGATGTTGGTGATAAAGTGACAGCACAGCGAAATGCAGTAATATTATTATTCGATATATTATTAATTATTATCTATACATTATATACTATCACAATTCGAGTAAACGGACGATATATATAATAGGTAGGTAGTGACATTCTGCGGCAAAGTGCATGTGCATGTGCAAAGCGCATGTACTACAGACGGCAGTGGTATAATGACAGCGGCGCGTAATTCAATAATATTAACCGATATATTTTATTATTATTATTATATAAGCTAGGTATCACAATTATTCGAGTAAACGGACAATATAATAGTAGTGACATTCTGGCGCAAATGATAGTGTTCACTGTTATTATTATCGTCATTATCATTATCGCCATCCCGCCTTAGATATAATAATGCAATATCGTAGGAAAAAATAATGAAACCTGCGCCGCGTGCACTATAGCCTTGCAGCGTTTCGGTATGCAATTACCGGTGGATTCCTTGTATCGGGACGTCTGCGACTGCAATTTTCCGTATGGAAGTTCAACACCGTTTGCGGTGCACATATTATTATTATTATTACTATATTGTTTAGGCAAGAGCAATCGGACGAAGAACGCGAGACAGACCGATCAACCTAAACCCGTCCACTATCGCACAGCAGCCGCAGCGGGGTGTATGAAATTAAATTATCGGAAATGCCGTTATTCCTAGCAAATACCTATATAATATAATACAAATGATTATATTATACATCTCTAAACCATATTACTATTATTATTATTATCATTATTATTTTTTATTCTCGTGACAACGACGTAGTGCAAAAATGTAAGCATTATGATGCCGATCTATAATATACAGGATGTCTCAATGTGTCTCACACACCACGTGTTTTTCCAAGCAATGACTCTTGTTAAAATAATAAAATTCATATAGGTATTAATTACTGTCACATCGAAGAACGACTGAACTATTAAAATCGCCGCAATTAAAATGTTTTGATTTTCTTAAACTCGATGTAAAAAAAAATATATAATTCTATGATAATATTGTTTTTGCGTCCACTGCTTGTCCGAACCGGCCGAAATAACCGATTCATAGAGCTAATTTATGAAAATATTTTAAACAAAGATTAATAATTATGAATTCACATTATGCGTGGTAGTGGCCACACAAGTTTTAAAGTATAAGCGAGAGGCGAGGAGTGGAGTGCCCCTATACACATGTTGCAGGCCAGCGGGCATATGCACTATAGGACAAACAGTGTGGCGAGAGCCTGCAATACGTGTTCTCGTATTATATACGAGGACTTCCGAAGGGTTCGACGAGGAAGGGGGGGATTAAACCCTCTCCGGGATATCGACGCAGCAGCAGCCTCCGCCGATATTGTCGGGGGACCGATAGACCGATGACCTGGACGGCGGTAAATCGGCGAGGATGAACGGTGCGAGAGATGCGCGAGGGGGTCAGATCTAATAACCTGCGGGTACCTACGGCAGACCGCCGCCGTTTAATTGATAAGTCCGGCGGGAAACAAGCGATAATTTATAACGTGTACACTGTACGTATTGTATATTGTTTGTTTATACGTATAAAGGAAAATAGTGTTGTTTTCTCAAGACTTTTCATTTTGCCAGGCCGAAAATTATACAGTCTATGATGCTGATGACTATTTTCCGTAGGTAACTATAAAAATAATGCACGTAAGCGAGTGCGTTTCATCAAAACTTTATATTAACGAAATTGTAAGTAACCAAAAATCGATTATTTAAATAAAATATTTATTTATTTATTTTTTTTATTAATAAAAAACTATTTATGTTTGTTGACGTCGTCGGTTAGGCAATAAGAGATGATAAATTACATGCGTTAGGTATGCGAAATATTGAGTTTTGATTGCGGTTCAGATTGTACTACATACTATGTAGACACATAGTATATTATTTTAACATAATTTAAAACTAAACTCTCGTGTCTCATCAACAGGCGGTTGTAATTTATTACCCTAATATTTTCCACAATATTTCATTGTTATTTAAAAACCATATTAAAATATGCATTTATGAAAATGAGTGTTCCTGGATATTTTGGACTTAACTTACCATAGGTACTAGGATTCGCAGTCACGGATTGTCTATAGGTGTATTTTTAACCAATTATCAGAAGTAGGTACACAAATCACAAGGGCAGTTTAATAAATAATACATGTCCTTATGTAAGCTCCACATAAATAATTGTAACTTTACTACAAAATACCGAAATGGAGGATGGTGAGTCTTAGATGTAGCTGTAGTTCAGTATCATTCATTACACAGCATAATTAAAGATTTAAAAATAAATTACAGAACCCAGTAATTCATTTAACAAATTAGGAACAATGTACACGTGAAAAGTTGTAGGCGAGGTTGATGGATATATGAAATATTCAGTTAAAATTCACTGGCGAAATTGGCTGGTCAATTATATTTTTTATAAGTATCTGCTGTAAATTTGAGTATGTTTGTATCCATTTGTTTGAATCAGTTATTCAATAAAGATTTTTAGACAAAATAGTATAGGATTAGAAGAAAATCGCAAAACCATACATTTATTTTTTTTTTAGTCGTCTACTATACCAATATAGCCATATAGGTATTTAATAATTATTATTTAAAATAAATCTGATCTAAATATTCTTTAAAATTATAACTTTTAGATAAATAAAAGCTATATGAACTAACAATAAATGACTAATAACGTTTAAACGAGAGTTTGATAATATAAATAGAGTGAATTTAACAACATTATGTTGGGTAGTCTTTGTTTTTTGAATATATAAAAATCTGTTAAGTAAATGTCTTATTTACTCCGAATATTACCAGTCTGTGTATATACATTTATGGTAATAAATTATAATAATTTCATTATATTATAATATATGACATGGAAAAAATAACTCAGTGAGTTATAACAAAACAGTTATGATAATTGTTAATTGGTACTCTCAAATGTCAACCATAATTTAGTTGTTAGAACAACAACAAAAACAAAAAAAAAAATAGTATAATGTATCAAATTAAATATAGTAACAGCGGTAGAATTATTTTTGTAAATTGTGATTATTTTTATGTAACCAGATTCATAATTTTCAAAACAACACATGTTATTATGTAGCAGTTACGAAATAGAAAGTAAATACAGTAATTGTGTTAACTTGGACAAATGTTTAAGTAGTAAATACTGAGTTTTCTTGTGAGCATTACCCAGTCTGATTAAAAGTGTTAAAGTCGGGTATTATTGTGTCAGTTACTAAATTGTATTTATTATTTATTTATGAAAGTAAACGGGGGTATTGAGAAAGTAGTGTCAACACTATTTATTTATTTATATTTTTAGAAATAATTTTTTGAGTATATCTAATATTATTTTTTAACTTTTCAAACATTAATTTGTTCAACTGTTTTATTCATAAACTCAAAAGGGAAAAAATACAATATTTTTATTCTGTTTCTTTTTTGGAATTTCACCAACTTCAGTTATTACTACTTTATGTTTTTTTGTACCTAAATAATTGTCATTTTATTCTATAGTTATACGCTTTTAAGTGTTATAACGTATTAATATATACGTATGTCTCTAATTATTATTATCAACAACTAAAGATTAGGTATTATCGTTATTTATTTTCACATGGATTATTATGTTATGAGTTATGACTTATGAAATGTTGTGTTTTAAACAAATCATCCGGAATTCTTAAAACTACATTTATATTTTTTTTATACTCTAATGAATGTATAAAGTTCATAATAGCATGTTTCATTGTTTCTAATATTAGTAATAATATTGTACAATATTAATTTTTCATTGGTAAAAGGACAACCCCAAGAAGAAGTTTTTTTAATTGAATTTGGTGGTCATCCGAGGTTTGAACCTTGCCAAAAAGAACTGAAACAGAAATGCATGTTTTTTTCAAAGAAGTAAGAAACTGATTGCCTTACAAAAAATAAAAATAAATTTGTTTTCTCAGGAACCAAACCGAACTGAAACAGAAACAAATATATCATAGAGATTTCAATCCACGTTCTTAGCTTATTTTATGCATAATAGATTGATATCATTCTAAACTTAACCGTTTTTTATTGTTCAGTAAATTAGTTTGACAATTAAGAAAACATAATTTTACTTGAAATAGAATTATAGTATAGAACAGAGGTAATTGTAGACAATACATTTTCTGAAATGTAATATTAACGTTCCAAGTACTAGCTATAATAAATATACGCAACAGCAATATTGAAGTACAATGAAAAAAAATTAATGAAGTCCATATCCTAAATTAAAATAAAACAATTTGTTGCAACAAGTAGTGCACATTTAGTAGTGTACATTTTCTGACAAATTTGCTATATTATAATAATTGTTATATATAATAGTTGAAATTATTTTAGTGAAACTATTTCGGTGATTTTTTGGTCTCTGGTTGTGTCTGATTGTGTTACAGTATTTAATCTGTTTAAACTGTTTAACGTATGCAATATATATATTGTTTTATTTACTATTTCTCGTTTACAGGGTCTGGAAGTACGAAAAGTGACGAAGACGAAGGAGATGAGGACGACGAGGAAGAGTGCACTGTTGATGATGACGATGACGATGACGATGAAGACGACTTACAGTCGGTCAGTTCTACCGAGGGATCAAACCACAGTCTGCTTTCGGGTAAATAAAATAATATATTGCACTATTTAATAAAATATCATAATAATTGGTATGCAATGTGATTTTATCAATCTCATGAAGTTTTCTTAGCTTTGCTTATTATACCAACTAGCTTCACATTGAAAAGATATATTATATCGACATTCAAAAATGTCTATTATTTACATAGGTAATTGATTAGACATTCTTAAGGGAGAATGATAAAAATTCGAACTGGTGCATATCTTACGGTTGGGTGGGCATGGGGGAAATAATGTCCAAATGGCAAATACCGATTTTATTGCGTTACGTTAAACCTATACATATTAAATTATATTGTTTACGTGTCTTAGTGTACGCATTGGCACGTGCGACGTTTAAAATACTCCTTGTTTCCCGTGTTTGTTTTGCGCGCTGGAAATTTATAGAATCCGATTAATATAATACAATCATTGTTCATTACCATAATTATTATGGTAGGTAGGTACCTATAATATGTTGTGTAACGATATTATTCCGAATGGAAAGTCGCGTGACACTGCCCGCCTCAGAGCATTTCACTGTAATACATTTAATATTATTGACGAAAGCAAGTCTTCGTGGCGACGACTGTCCCCCCCCCTCCACCCTCTCCGTCGCCGTTGCACACTCAACCCTTACACCGTCCCCTCACGCGTACCACCCGCCGACGAGCCGTGTCGTCGTCGGAAGCGGAACGGTCGCATCGTTGTCGTCGTCATCGTCGTCAATGGGACGCCGAGCATTGTTAGTCCGGCGGCGGTGTGTGTACCGGAAATAATTGCAGCCGCCACGGTTCGCATGAAGACCGACTTTAATCACCTTTTCCAGTCGGTATATACATACACGCCGAACAAATCAAATATTATTACACGAGTGAAGAGTAAATAAAATTAATAATAATGTGACTAGGACGTGTGGTTGGCGTCCCCCTTCGTCGCCGCAACATCGCACACAGCCAGCATATTATTATACTTTATTGATAACATATCCGAGTCGAAAGTACCTTGTAAACTCTTGTAGTTCATGAGACCTACCAAATTACGGAATCGTGGATGCAACGGATGTTTGATTTTCTCATTTAAAAAACAAGATCGAAAAAAAATGCCACACGGCTATCTATAATTCAAAGTTAAGGGACCCTAGAAAGAACAACTATACGTTACATATAGAGCCCAATGGAGAGTGTAGTATACAAGACCAAATACAGATTTACGGAGTTTCACAATACGGTAAAGACGACTGTATATAGTCACAGTAAACGGAGTGTCGGAGATCGTTTTATTGACTTCCGGATAATACCTTCTAATAAAATAATCAGGCGAATTTTGTTCAATGACACTCAAAGTTTTGGGATTTTTAATTATAATAAATTGAATAATGTTTACATAAATTCATCTATTTACGTAGTATATTTTAGTGAAGTTTGTGATTTATGAACGCACTATACTTAATTGTATGTGGGAAGCAACTAGTTTGAACGTTTTAAGAGGTAGATCGTATAATATATTATATTGACATATTTTGTATTATGTGTTATAAACTGCCTGATCATCGGACTATCGGAGGCAATCATACCCGGTGTATATTAGCCTTACGATAATTATATACGGATGGGAGACAATTCGCAAATTTTGTTAGGCAACTATACATATAATAGTACGCACCGATAATATTATTGTTACATATAATATCACGTTGACACGTCTGTTGAACCCCCGATCAAATAATATAATATTATACTGTCATACACATCATAGACATATACAGTGCACTCGAGCAGCTGGTGGCTGTAATCGCGTCGTTATCGTGTTTTTTATACTTACTTTTTCTCGCGCCTCGGTGGGAGACGAACGCCGCGAATGGGTTGCGAGAGAGTTTTCCTGGAATATAATTGTACCCTTGCTAAAAGTTGCCGGCGCCGTCGTCTGCGCACCGCTCACCACTCTATGGCTCCGACGGCATGAAGATGAGCGGCGCGGTCCTATCCCGCGGGAACCGTATAATAAACCCGAGGCGGAGATCGCGTGCGGGTGGTATATATGTGTTGCGTACATATATATATATATATGTATAGATATGTATATGTATATTATTATATTATATACGTTCGTTTTGTTTGATTGTTATTGCCTCGGCGGCAGTCGGCGGTTGTGCAAATGTGCGGAGGGGGAAAAAAACGAGAAGTATTCTCTCTGTCTCTCTCCGCCAGAAAGAAGCGAAAAATAAATAAATAAAAAACACCGTCCGTCTATACTTTATACGATAATATTATATAATATATTATATTGCACGTACCCGTCGCTGATGCTGCCGCTGCACTCGGACTTCTGTCGTCAGAAAATCGATATATGCGGTTTTTGCTGGGCCGCCTCCACCGCCGCCTCCACCGCCGCCGCCACCCTCCACAGGACGTTCAAAATTAACGCTCGCCGCTTGTCAATTAGCGACGGTGACGGCCACGGCAGAGGCTACAACAGCAGACTAGCGGAGTACGACTGTCCCGACAGTATATGGCTACGTAGGTATACCTCATGTATAAGTCTGTCTCTCCATCGCACCGTTTTCCGTATAGTGCACGTGCATTACACAGAAATGCACTACGCCCAGTAATGATATTTCTAGTGCAAAAGTGCAATTCAATTATTTCCAAGTACATATATGTATGCGTGCGTACGTACATATACATTCGTCTATATGATATATTATGTGTGCAGGTATGATACCAGGGGTGGTAGTCTCGTAATTTTGTATATTATATACATAAATGAAGGTATAATATATCGTTGTGATATGTCATCGTACCGACGAACATTTTATTTATATATGCAAATACAGCACAATTCGTCAATAGCAAGATCACGTACTCATTATATCAATTAACAGTGCAATTACTAAAATTCGGATTTTGGTCCATTCAGCTTAATGAATCGAAACTTATCTCTCTGAATTTAAATTTATATATAGGTATCGATATTCGGCACGTTCCAAATAATTGTTCTGGTTAACAATTTACAGAAAAAGAGAAAATTTAAAAAACAGAAGTGTATACTAAAGTTAATGTTACTACTAAAATGTACAAAAATACAACTGGGAGGTGCACTCCTAGTTAAAGGAAAATACAGGAGTGAAAGTGATTACTGGTTGATAAAATATATGTACGAATTATCCGGTTTATGAGTGTCGTATATATTTAGGTAAGTGTATGCGTGTGTATATTTCGGATTCGTTCATATTAAATATACGAACAAAGTCCCGCGCCGACATAATATTATAATATTATATACGAATTTAAATAATAATAATAATAATAATACTCGTCCCCGCGAGCATTCACTGTCGCTTCACCGTTGTACCTTTCGTGCATTGTGCATATATGCGAGTATCTATAATATGTACGTATGTATGTATGTACTATGTATGTATGTATGTATGTATATATGTACGTATGTATGTATGAAGTATGTATTATATATAAGTATTATATAGTCTTCTCTCGTTTCTTTGTACGGCGGCAGCGCGTGTACGACGTATTATAATATTATGTAGGTATATGTCCTATATTTACGCGGATATGGAACAGCACCTAATACTCGTGTGACCTAAACCTATGGCACCACGCGTATACGTACAAATAGTTCGTGGTTACCGCGGCTTCAAAAACATCAAATAGATGTTTAGGCGTTAAACATAATGTAAATACGATATTATAGACATATTATGTGCACAATTATTTATGTATTATATAATTCATAACATATTATAATAAAATACAACTCAAAATTTGTTAAGATAATGTTATGTTTTGAAAAAAAAATGTATATGTGTGATCAAATAATGCAGTTTAATGGTCTTTAAATTTTTTTAAATATCTTAATAATTTTACTAAAATTGAATTATAATGTACACTATACTAGACACCACTGCACAAGGTATGTGATAAATAGGTAGGGAAGTACAAAGCGTAAGCGATTAAAAAAAAAATGTTAAAATAGGTTATGGACCTTGGGTGAATTTTTGATGGATGGTAGGAGTAGGGGGCATGGCCAAGCATACATTTAACATATTTAAGAATATTGCTCTGCTCACATATAATTAGGTACCTATACGTCAATTTTGAACAGAGGTAAACAACACAATATAAATTTAAATAAATTTGAAAGATACTTAATAAAGTTGATGAATTAATTACAATTGAGTAGCACGGTGTGATTGTTTTCAAACGTATGTCAGTACAGTATAAGTCTTTGAGAATAATTTTGATTTCTTTTTATAAATCGTCGTATAGTAGTAAATATTGATATGCATCAATTATGCATTAATTATTTTAAACATTAATATGCAATATTTATTTATCTTTATATTTTTAAATGATGGTATTATTAAGTAAAACGAAAAGAAATATAAAATTAGATTAGTAATTAAATTCATACTTAATTTCTAATGCATATGTAAATAAAAAATGTTACCATACACTATCAATTATACACTCATGTATTGTATCATATTATATCTTTTGAAAAACAATTACATAACAGTTATTTAATAAATACTTAATTACCGATGAGTGTCAACGTGTACCGACTGAGAGATTTGAACACAAATATCTCATCTCCTTCTTCAAAAACACAACCCAACATTTTTTTTCAAATTACGCCACTGATTAAATAGGTAAGTAACATATTATTATAATAATATATTGTTAGTTATACATTTTACAATGTTCATATAATTCCTATTTGTATTATTATTGATTTATTGTATTCAGTCTTGGAGTTTTGATTATTTTTGGTGATGGGTGGTTTCATATTTTCAGATTATATTATTTATCTCAAGATCTTATGACTAATATTAAGCTGATCACAGATCGACAATCAGGGCTGCGAATTTAATGATTTTGCACATGGATGTGTGTCGTTTTAAATTTAAAATAAATAATAAGTAATTGTGTTAATCAATACATTGATTAACACAACCATTCAAAATTTAAAACTCAAAATTCT